GCTGAATGAAAAATAGTATTTGCTTCAATAACATTTGCCTCCCTGTGATAAACTCTGGCTACTGTTTTTTTTGTTGTTGTTGTTGTTGTTTGTTTATTTGTTTGTTTTAAAAGAGAGAGAGAATTTTTTAATATTTATTTTTTAGTTTTCGGTGGACACAACATCTTTATTTTATTTGTATGTGGTGCTGAGGATCGAACCCAGTGCCCCACGCATGCCAGGGGAGCGCTACTGCTTGAGCCTCCCCAGCCCTGGCTACTGTTTTAATCTACTTTAATATATTTGACTTTTAAACCTATGTTCATAATTTTCAGGGTTTTTTTTTTTTTGGGGGGGGTGGGCACCAAAGTTAACACTGTAAACAAAACAAAATAAAAACCAAACACCAAGCTAGGAATAATTTTAGATACTATTTTTTACCCAAAGTTTTGGTATAAATTATCAACTATAAACCACATGATATTTTCTATTGATATGGATATTGACTGCTGGAATTGTTGAATTAACATTTTAATTTCTGCAAGAATACCTCAATAATTTGTTCTTACTAATTTTGATATTTATTTTTTGCAAAATGTTATTCCTTTGTTCAGGTTTTCAGTTTTTGAATGATCTTATTAATATGCCTTCCTGATTGTTTTAATCTTAGGTATAACAGAAACTATTTTTCTGGTTTTAATATGTATGCTTCTTTACTCCTGTTTCTTTTTTTTCTCTTCTTTCCTTTTTTGCAGTGCTGAGGACTGAACCCATGGTCTTGCACATCTTGACAAGTGCTTCACTACTGAGCTACATCCCCAGCTCTCTTTACTCTTTTTTTTCTTGATCATCACCACACAGAAGCAATTTGAATTTCTCTGAAATATCTTTATCAACTAATCATCCTTATTCTCTAACTAGCTGATTTCTTCCCTTGTTGTTATTTAGTCCCTATTGTTATAAATTTATTGAGTTGTTCTTCTAACTTGTTAGTTAAAACCATAACTCATTATCTTAGGTCTCTTGTTTTGTTCTTCAAACTTTTAAGATTCCTTAAAAAGGCATTTGAATCTGGGCTGGGGATGTGGCTCAAGCAGTAGCTCGCTCGCCTGGCATGCATGCGGCC